GTTCTTCCTTGGCTTTTCCCTCCGTTGTTTTAGCAAACCCACCTCGGAGCAGAAATTCCCCTCTGCATTGCATGCTGCTTTCACTTTCTTTGATCATCGGGTTTTATGGTAGCCTCTACCCCGCATGCCGCTTTCACTTTCTTTGATCATTGTGTTTTATGGTAGCCTCTACACCGCATGCCTTTTTCACTTTCTTTTATCATCGGGTTTTATGGTACCTTCTGCATAGATTTTTGGCCATTCGGGGTGACTTTGCAATCAGTATGGGTGTTTGAATGTGGTTTTGAGCTGCAACGTGTCCTCAGTGTTGAGAAAATGTGGAGCGAATGCCGGATGCTGAATCGTCCTGAGTTAATTTTATGCCCGACAGGAAAAATGGACAGGTCTTTTTTTGTTTTTTTCCCCAGCCTGGGTAAAATATGGTGCCTTTGGGCAGGTGGGGAAATGTGAGAAGGCTGTTTCCCCCTCTAAAATTAACCCCGTTTATCTGCATTTAGAAACTGGGACGAATAAAGTATTTTAAAATGATCACGGACCTATTGTCTAATTGTTACCCGCAAAGCTCTTATCTCCTAAGATGACAGTTCCTGACAACACTTCATAAAGAATTCCACACAAGGGTGTGTGTGGGCATGCATATCTGTATTTGTGCGGCATCGAAGCTGTGCGCAGCAACAAGCCAAATCCTGCAACCTGCGTTTCCACATTAAACTACTGTGAATGATTCTCTTGTTGTGCATAACTGACCCCACAATCGTTTGGTGCCATACAAGGATCCGGGAGACCCAAGTTCAAATCCGCGCTCTGCTGCAGAAGCTCGGGTGAGTCTAAACTCTCAGCCTGACCTACTTCGCAGGGTCGTTTTTAAAAGGGGAGGCAAATTATGTAAACCAGTTTGGGTCCCCGTTGTGGAAAAAGGAAGGGTATAAATAAAGTGAATACATTAATATTTTGTTCTGGTCTGCTTAATTGCAGGAAAGGGCAAGAATTTATCATGGGCTCAGTAGTAGAGCCCCTGCTTGGGATGTAGAAGGTCCCAGGTTCAATCCCTGACATCTCCGGTTAAAAGGAGGCAGGAGGTGATGGGAAAGACCTTTCTCTGCCTGAGACCCTGGGGAGCTTTAAAAATCAGTTGTGGCTCAGTGGCAGAGCCTCCGCTTGGCATGCAGAAGGCCCCAGGTTCAGTCCCCAGCAGGCAGGAGGTGATGGGAAAGACCTCAGCCTGAGACCTTGGAGAGCTGTAAAGAGGGGCTATGGCTCAATGGCAGAACCTCTGCTTGGCATGCAGAAGGTCCCAGGTTCCATCTCCGGCATCTCCAATTAAAAGGATCAGGTAAGAGATGACGGGAAAGACCTCCGCCTGAGACCCCGGAGAGCTGTAAAGAGGAGGCTGTGGCTCAGCGGTAGAGCCTCTGCTTGGCATACAGAAGGTCCCAGGTTCAATCCCCAGCATCTCCACCATTTGAATCCCACACTATCTTGCACGGCTCACCCAAAAACCCACATGTCCAAGCATTCTATTCTAGCACCTTCTCTGGAGAAGAGAGAGGACCTCAGCCAGAGACATGCGAAGCCAAAGAAAACCCACAGCCCCCTGTTCAAAGAGGCAATTTTCCGTAGCCTCTATTTCCCCACTTACCTGTTTTCTGAAGGGGAGGCCTGTCTCGCAGGAGGCTGGGAGCTGCTGCGGTTCCTTCCACTGTCCTTTCCTCAGCTTCCCTCTGCCAAGCAGTGAAAGGAAAAACTGATAAACTGCATTCCCCGAAGATAGTTGCAGAGGGCAGCCGAGCTGGCCCACAGTGGAAGAGCCGGATTCGAGTCCATGAGCGCCTTAGAGCCCAAAAAGATTTTTCAGGATACGAGCTTCCAAGAGAGCTTCGATTCTTGAAAACTCATACCTCCCAAAATCTTGTTGGGCTGTGACGCGCTATCGGACTCAAATCTTGCCGATAGACTGCAAACCTCCCGAGACTGATCTTTGAGTTCGAATATTCCAGAGCTGGATTGTGGATCCCAGGAACAAACCTAGAATAAACTTCTAGAGCCCCTGAGCATCAAACGCCGGAGACCACTGACTCTTGAGCAGTGTTCCCTCTCAGCGGAGTTAGTGTGAGCTAGCTCACAGTTTTTTTAGCCTCCGGTTTGCAGCGTTTTGTCTCAGCTCAGGAAGGAGGGCTCCAGAGCAAACTAATTTATGCAGGAGCCCAATCGCTGGCTCCCAACTTTAATGCCAGTAGCTTGCAAAGTACAAGTTTTGCTCACAGGTGTTCCCTTTGCAAGCAGTGTTCCCTCTAAGCCGAGTTAGTGTGAGCCAGCTCACAGTTTTTTAGCCTCCAGCTCACACATTTTTGCCTTCACTCAGGAAGTATGGCTACGGAGCAAACTAATTGATGCCGTAGCCAAATAGCTCGCTCCCAACTTTAATGCCAGTAGCTCGTAAAATACAATTTTTGTTCACAGGACTCCACAGCTTAGAGGGAAGCATAGCTCCTGAGTCCCCCCCTCCTTGTCTTCTCTGTCCCACTTCATGGAGGAGGAGGAGGAGGAGGAGGAGGAAGAGGAAGAGGAAGAGGAAGAGGAAGAGGAAGAGGAAGAGGAAGAAGAAGAAGAAGAAGAAGAAGAAGAAGAAGAAGAAGAAGAAGAAGAAGAAGAAGAGATTGGATTTATACCCTGCCCTTCACTTGGAGTCTCAGAGCTATCTCTACCCTAAAGTTTCCCAACCCACCTGGTTTTCCGAAACCTGGGCCATCTCAGCAGAACAGTATTGTGGATTCGGATGCCTGCGTTTCCCAAGAGGATAGCAGCGGGGGGTGGGGGTTGGGGAGGGTGACGGTGGATCTGCCTGTCTCCCAGATGAGTGAAATGAATACAGACAAGCCACACGCATGCAGGTATCCAATATCGGGCATCTTCAGGTCACCAGCGAAGGTTATAGCAACAGAAAAGCGGCCTTCCTCACAGCGGTGGCACAGAGGATTTATCCTCTGATTAACATCTGAACTGAACAGAGCTGCTGTCAGTTCTAGCTCGCGCTGGTGTGAGCTACCAGCCTTGTCCCCAGCTCGCCGTCCACCCAGCGGTTCGAAAGCTTCGGCGAGTAGATAAAATGGGTACCACTCCTTAGAGAGGGTGGGCACACTAACCCCCCCCCCGTGGGGGAGGTGTTAGCCGGCAAATGGAATGTCCAGCTCGTAAGCTCATAAGCTTGGGAAAAGACCTCTTCGGCATTAAGAAGCCTGTGATGGGCCATTCCGACCAGGCGGTGGCAGTGCAGTGCAATGACTCAAAAAGCAGTCCTGGAAGATCCAATGTCATCAAGCCAAGCCGAAGTGAATGCCGTCCGGAACACGTCTGAACCCTTCAGCTGAACAAAATCCCCGCCGGCTGCAAACTTGTGTGATTTAAAGAATTATATGTTGTCCTCCCTTACCCTGTCATTGTTAGTCCCTCATGAAAACCTGTGTAACTGTAAATCGCTCAGAGCCAGCAGTTCTGCAAGGATTGAGCGATCATCGAAAGGTATGATGATGATGATGATGATGATGATGATGATGATGATGATGATGTTCAGGATCTAAGATCAGAGCCTTATCTAGGCCTGCACAACTAGCCTGAAGCCATCCTGTGAGCCGTATCTTGCCATTTTTCAGGGGCAGGACAGTCCTCTGGGGTTCAAAACATGGAGTGTGTTATGTATTGGGACTGAACCATTCCAGGTATGTCACACCAGAGACTGGCTGAGCTTGGAGCCCAAGGACAATAGCCGGCAGGGATTCTGGAAGTAACCAATCAAGTAGTCATGTTATGTAAATAGCCTATCGTTGGGAGTGGGGTGTGTTTGGGTGTGGCAATTGCATGCTATTTAACAGAGCTGTGGCTCTGGGGTCTCGTCTTGCTCTTGCTGAAATCACAAATAAAGTTGAGCCGATCATTAGACTTGAGCCTGCTCATCCACGGAACCCACTCTTTAACAGAGTGGCGGAATGGCATGGCATATGCGCAGCAAATAGAAGGTGCCAGGTTCAGTCCCCGGCATTGCCAGCAATACTCCCTCTAAGCTGTGGAGTCTTGTGAGCAAAAATCCTACTCTGTGAGCTACTGGCATTAAAACTGTGAGTGATCGATTTGGCTGCTGCATAAATTAGTTTGCTCTGGAGCCCTCCTTCCTGAGCTAAGGGGAAAATGTGTGAGCCGGAGGCTAAAAAGCTGTGAGCTGACTCACACTCACTCAGCTTAGAGGGAACACTGATTGCCAGTAAAAAGGATCAGGTGATGTGAAAAGCCTCCACTGGAAAGCCGTTGCTGGACAGAGTTAGGGTTGCCAACTCTGGGTTGGGAAATTCCTGGAGCACTGAGGGATGAAGTCTCAGGAGGGCAGGGTTTGGAAGAAGAAGAAGAAGAAGATATTGGATTTACCCTTCATTTGGAGTCTCAGAGTGGCTTACAATCTCCTTTCCCTTCCCCTCCCCACAACAGATACCCTGTGAGGTAGGTGGGCTGAGAGAGCTCTGACAGAAATTGCTCTTTTTCAAGGACAGCTCTGACAGAACTGTGGCTTGCCCAAGGTCATCCAGCCAGGTACAAGTGGAGGAGTGGGGAATCAAACCCAGTCCTCCCAGATTAGAGTCCGCGCACTTATCCACGACACCAAACTCTCTTCCCTGCTCCATTACCTGACAGGCCAAAGAGAGGGGGGAATGTAAGTATACGATTACCCTCTTCCATTGCTCCACTACCTGGCAGACGAAGGAAAGGAGGCATATGACTTCCCTCTTCCCTTGCACCACTACCTGGTGTGGGGCAAGGAGGGGAGAAAATGCAGGCCTACAACTCCTTTCTCTCCTTGCTCCAGTACCTGGCGGGCCTTCTTGGGAGGTTTTCAAACAGAGGCTTGGATGGCCATCTGACAGCAGTGCTGATTCTGCAAACTTTGGGCAGATCACGAGAAGGGAGGGCAGGGAGGGTTGCCTCGCAGCTTCATTCTCGCAGCCCTTTCTTACACGACCAGGGGAATGCGGCCAGGGGTCATTTCCTGCAGGAGCACACAGGAGCAGAGCTCTGGCAGTAAAGAGCCCAGGGGGCGGGCACATGCAACAAGCCCCACCCCCTGCTCCCAGCAGCCCTCAGTCAGGCCACGAGGAGCAAGAAGCAGCCAAGTAAGTTGCAGAGGGGCTCCCCCATCCAAAACAGTCCAGTGGCACCTTTAAGACCAGGTTTTATTCAGGTACAAGCTCTTCCTCCTCTGCGGGGACAGATCTGCACATTCCCTCCCTCCCAATAGCTAGCAATCCAAAACAGCCCAGTAGAGCCTGAGCAGTGGGTGTTGCCTTCTGACACACTTCCGGTGACGTCAGGGGGTGTGTGGCATATGCAAATGAGTTGTGCAAATGAGTTATGCAAATGAGCTCCTGCACCTCTTTTTCTACGAAATGACCCGTGGAAATGCCGATTGCCACTTTGGGGTCAGGAGGGGATTTTTCTCCAGCCCAGTTTGGCCAGGGATCCTGGAGGGGTTTTTTTTTTTGCCATCCTCTGGGTGTGGAACAGCGGTCACTGGGCGTGATGGTGAATGTCCTGCATGGTGGAGGGGGTTGGACGAGATGACCCTGGAGGTCCCTTCCAATCGATGGTTCTATGATTCTAGGAAGAGGGGGAAATGCAGACATACGTGTGCCCTCTCCCCTTGCGCCACCCCCTGGTAGGCCAAGGAGGGGGTCATGCCTATGAGTACACTCTCCAGTTACCCACACAGAACCAAATCTCCCCAGTCTTCTCAGGCACATTCTGCCTTGCCCTCCTTTGGGTTGCCAACTCCCTGGAGGGGCTTTTCCTCTATACTCTCCAGTAGCCGCCCTTATGGTCCACAGGAAAGCCCAATGGACCATTGGGGTTCCCCACTGAAGGTACCAGGATCTTCAGTTTTCCTTCCAAGCTTAGAGGCCTCCTGCTACCCAGCACCCGGTTACCGCGGGGACAGACTGCTGGCTTGAGCACCCCTGAGGTAATAGCCGCTTGCCCGGGGACTTTGTTGACTCCTTTATGTGTAAGAGACTCACCCGGAGAGATGGAGCTGTGAGAGGCCTGGGGCCCGATCCACCTGTCTTGTGGGCCCTGGTAGGACTTCGCTGGGAGGAAGATCTGAAACTGGATCCCTGGGCGGCCCCGGAGAAGGACGAGCCAGTCGCCGCCACCGATCCCTCCTGCTGCCGCCGCCGGAGAGCGGCCACCTGTTGCGACATATGGCGGGCCTGTCCGAAAAACAAAAGGAGCGCGTGAGTGGCGGCCTCCTCCCGCACAAGTTTTTACAGGGGGGATATCTGCCTGCCATACAGGTGTCAAAGGCATGGGGGGCTGCTGGGAAAACAGAAGTGAATCGGAACTCCAGGAAGGAAAGTGATTGAGGCAATTTACTCTGAGGATGCTGAGTGCTGGACTGGATGGGCCACTGGCCTGATCCAACATGGCTTCTCTTACGTTCTTATGGCTGGGGCAGTGATGCTCTATATTCTTGGGGCCTGGGGGGCAACAGTGGGAGGGCTCCTGGAGTTCTGGCCCTGCTGGTGGACCTCCTGATGGCACCTGGGGTTTGGCCACTGTGTGACACAGAGTGCTGGACTGGATGGGCTACTGGCCAGATCCAACATTGCTTCTCTTATGTTCTTATGTCTGGGGCAGTGATGCTCTGTCTTCATGGTGCTTGGGGGGGGCAACAGTGGGAGGGCTCCTGGAGTTCTGGCCCTGCTGATGGACCTCCTGATGGCACCTGGGGTTTTGGCCACCGTGTGACACAGAGTGCTGGACTGGATGGGCCACTGGCCTGATCCAACATGGCTTCTCTCATGTTCTTACAGCTACCACTCCAGACTCCATTCTTCACAACTCTTCCCCCCTCACTAACCAGAAGCGCGTCTTGCTGGCTGAAGTAAGTTTTCTGCGTCTTGCCCTCGTTATTCCCTGCAAAGGGGGGGAAAAAAGAGCGAGAGCTGGCAAAGAAGGCGGAAAGCGTTCAGGGAGGCTGAGAGGACCCAAGGCCAGGCTTTGAGCCCCCTCACCTCCCGCTAAAAGGAATGCTAGAAGGCTGGGAAGAGGATTGCTAATCTGGAGATTTCCTGGAATTACAGCTGAACTCCAACTGTAGAGATAAATTCCCCTGGAGGAAATGGCTGCACCTCACTGACGTCAGTCCCCTCTCTAAAACTCACCCAGGCTCCAATCCCCAAATCTCCGGGAATTTCCCAACCTGGAGTTGGCAACCGTAACATGGACTGTAGAGGAGCCAGCATTCAAAACCGGAAGAAGAAGAGGAGGAGGAGGAGGAGGAAGAAGAGATTGGATTTATACCCCACCCTTCACTCGGAGTCTCAAAGCGGCTTACAATCTCCTTTCCCTCCCCCTCCCCACAACAGACACCCTGGGAGGTAGGCAGGGCTGAGAGAGCTCTCTTGAGGACTGCCCTTGAGAGAACAGCTCTGAAAGAACTTGTGACTGACCCAAGGTCCCGCCAGCAGCTGCATGTGGAGTAGGAGTGGGGACTCAAACTCTGTTCTCCCAGATTAGCATCCGCACACTTAACCACTACACCAAACTGGCTCTCCCGGATCTGCCGGATAGGGTTGGATGTGCCGGATAGGGTTGCCAGCGTCCAGGTGGGGCCTAGGGATCTCCCGCTTTTAAGACTGATCTCCAGCTGACAGAGATCAGCTCCCCTGGAGAAAATGGCTGCTTTGGAGGGTGGACTCTACGGCATTGTACCGTGCTGAAGCCCCTCCCCTCCCCAAACCCCGCCCTCTCCTGGCTCCACCCCCAAAGCCTCCAGGTATTTTCCAACCCAGACCTGGCAACCCTACTACTGGATTTAGGCATTTGCATTTATTTATTTATATTCCACTTTTCAGGGCTACATGGGCCTAACCCTCCTTCGTTTTCTCACAACAACCCTGTGAGGTAGGCCAGGCTCAAAGTTTGTGATGGGCCCATGGTCGCCCAGAGGGTTTCCATGGAAATCTAGGTGGCATAAACGTGTGTCTGTGTGAGGGTCTCTCATCCAGGCCTCAATGAGACTCTAACCCTGCTTACCCCTCTGCGAGGCACAGAGATCATAGATCCAAGCCCCTTTCAGCCTTGTACTCAGCTCCCGGGGCTTGGGTGGGCAGGGGGGGGAGAGACAAGGCCGGGCCGAGAAACACGGCGGTGGCGGGGGGGGGGGGCAGCATCTGAAGGCCTTTCTTGGGCCCTGTGCTCCAGCGCTGGGCCGAGAAAGGCAGCGGCGGGGGAGGGGGGGCAGTCAGCCTCTGAAGGCCTTCCTCGGGACCTGCGCTCCGGTGCCGGGCTGCAACTTACTTTCCTTCTGCCTCCTCATGGCCCGACTAATGGCTGATGGGAGCAGGGGGCGGGGCTTGGTCATGTGCCCGCCCCCCAGCTCCTCACTCTCGGAGCGCTGCTCCGGTGCGCTCCGGGGCCAACTGACCCCTGATCTTATTGATAGAGGTTATATATTACAGGCTTGTCTATGAAGAGAGAATAACAGTGCCTCAGCAGAAAAAAAATTGATGGGCCCCTAGTCCCTGCAGGGCCCCTAGGCTCCAGCTTAGTCAGCCTTATAGAAGAAGAAGAAGAGGAGGAGCAGGAGGAGGAGGAGTTGATCTTTATACCTTCACTCGGAGTCTCAGAGCGACTCCTTTCCCTTCCCCTCCCCACAACAGACACTCTGTGAGGTAGGTGGGGCTGAGAGAGCTCTTCCCAGAACTGCCCTTTCAAGGACAGCTCTTGTCAGAACTATGCCTTGCCCAAGGTCATCCAGCAGGTGCAAGTGGAGGAGTGGGGAATCAAACCCGGTTCTCCCAGATTAGAGTCCGCGCACTTAACCACTACACCAAACTGGCTCTGCCTCCCGGTGGGTGGGTGGAGAGCTCCCAGAATCACAGCTGAGATCAGACAGAATGACAGACAAGAGATCAGTTCCGCTGGAGAAAATGGCTGCTTTAGAAGGTGGACTCTACGGCATTGTACCTCTTGGAAGCCCCTCCTCTCCCAAGGCTCCACCCACCGAATTCCCAACCCGGACCTAGCAGCCCTCATGGGATCTCCTGCCATGGCGATTTCCACTGGCCACAACGTGGGCACAAAATGGGCTGGAGCCATCACCTCTGCAAGAGGGTGGCCCTGTGATAGGGGGTGTGGACTGCTACTGCTGCAAGCTGGTGCCCCGTGGCCCATTCGGGCACCGAACGAGGTTACCGAGCACTCACCAAACACCTGGGGCCTCTCAGGAGACCTCCCGTCACCACGACTCTGTCTGTTGTCGCCGTGGCCTCCTCCCACGCCGCCTCCGCCTTTCATCCTGTAGGTAATGGCCGCTGACTTCTCTAAATCCTGGGCCAGCGACACAACAAATTCTTTATTGGCTCCGACCCATTTCCCGCTTTGCCAACAAACCATAAGACCCGAACAGGAACAGAGGCAGGTGTGGCTGCGTTTGAACCTCATCCATGGGTTATTCCCTCGACAAATTATGGGAACCCGTGGGCACTCAATGAAATTGCTGAGCAGTCGGGGTTAGAATGGACAAAAGGAAGCACTTCTTCACCCAAAGAGGGATTAATGCATTGAATTCACTGCCACAGGAGGGGGTGGCAGCTACAAGTATGGAGGGATTCAAGAGGGAATTGGATAAACATATGGAGCAGAGGTCCATCAGTGGCTATTAGCCACAAGGTATAGATAGGAACTCTCAGTCTGGGGCAAGCGATGCTTTGTATTCTTGGTGCTTGGGGGGGGGTGCAACAGTGGGAGGGCTTCTAGTGTCCTGGCCCCACTGCTGGACCTCCTGATGGCACCTGGTATTTCTGGCCACTGTGTGACAGAGTATTGGACTGGATGGGCCATTGGCCTGATCTAACATTGGCTTCTCTTATGTTCTCAATATGGAGCAGAGGTCCATCAGTGGCTATTAGCCACCAGGTATAGATAGGGGCTCTCAGTCTGGGTCAAGTGATGCTCTGTATTCTTGGTGCTTGGGGGGGGCAACAGTGGGAGGGCTTCTAATGTCCTGGCCCCACTGATGGACCTCCTGATGGCACCTGGTATTTCTGGCCACTGTGTGACAGAGTGTTGGACTGGATGGGCCATTGGCCTGATCCAACATTGGCTTCTCTTATGTTCTTATGTCTGGGGCAACGGATGCTCTGTCTTCTTGGTGCTTCAGAGGAGGGGCAACAGTGGGAGGGCTCCTAGTGTCCTGGCCCCACTGGTGGACCTCCTGATGGCACCTGGTATTTGTGGCCACTGTGTGACACAGAGTGTTGGACTGGATGGGCCACTGGCCTGATCCAACATTGCCTTCTCTTATGTTCTTATGTTTCCTTCACCGTGGTGACAATAGGGTATCTCGTTCCTGGGAAGGTTTGTGTTTGTTACGTCCCCTCCCCCCCGGGCATCTTCCCTGGGTCCATTCTAGGGTCGCCATCCTCCGGACGGGGCCTGGAGATCTCCCGGAATTATAGTTGCTCTCCAGATTACAGAGCTCAGTTTCCCTCAAGAAAATGGCTGCTTTGGAGCATTCTACCCTGCAGAGGTCCCTCCCCTTCCCAAACCCAGCCCTCCCCAGGCTCTAACCCCAAATCTCCAGGAATTTCCCAACCTGGAGTTGGCAACCCTAGGAACTGGGCACGGCCAGGTGACACTTTTGCCCAGCAAGGCTTCTGATCGGCCACTGGAGATTTTATGGCCTGTGCGGATTTTTAAAAACACTGCTTCAGCGGCAGCCGGCAACACAAACGGTGTGACTGAAGGTAAGTCTCGGCAGCCATTTTGTGGCTGTCTCCGCCTCCTCCGGCAGCCATTTTGTGACTGCGATCAGCACACTATGTCATAATCCCAAAGGGGCCTGCAGGCTCAAAAGGGTTGGGGACCCCTTCTCTTAACACTGGGGGAAACCACAATTCCTTACCCCATTCCCATAGGAGAGGACTGGGTCAAAAAGGCTGTCCAGGTAACGGTCCAAACCCTTCTGGCTCCGGGACTCACTGAAGGTGTCCGAATCTGCTTCCGAGTCCAGAAAGGGGGAAAGAAGAAGAAGAAGAAGAAGAGATTGGATTTATACCCCGCCCTTCACTACCCAAAGGAGTCTCAGAGTGGCTTACAAACTCCTTTCCCTTCCCCTCCTCACAACAGACACCCTGTGAGGTAGGTGGGGCTGAGAGAGCTCTTGACAGAAACTGCTCTGTTTCAAGAACAGCTCTTACCAGAACTACAGCTTGCCCAAGGTCATCCAGCAGCTGCGAGTGGAGGAGTGGGGAATCAAAGCCGGTTCTCCCAGATTAGAGTCCGCACTCCTAACCACTACACCAAACTGGCCGATTAGTCCCAAAAGATTTCCTGAATGAGTGTACGTAAGTGTCTCGATGAACATTTTGGGCCCAAATATTGGGGTCGCTAGGAAACAGAAGCCGAGCCTCCTGTAGAATTACCAGCTTGATAGAAAAGGGAATTTTTGCCAGGGCAAAGTTACTCCATAGGTTGGCATTACGACATGGCAATGTGAATGCACCAGGACTCCCTCTGATATCTATCTATCTATCTATCTATCTATCTATCTATCTATCTATCTATCCATCCTAATCTAATCTATCTGTCTATTTACCTACCTACCTACCTACCTACCTACCAATGTTTCCTCTAAGCCGTGGAGTCTTGTGAGCAAAAATTCTACTTTGTGAGCAGCTGGCATTAAAGTTGTGAGCAAGTGATTTGGCTGCTGCATAAATGAGTTGGCTCTGGAGCCCTCCTTCCTGAGCTAAGACAAAAATGGGTGAGCTGGAGGCTAAAAAACGGTGAGCTAGCTCACACTAACTCAGCTTGGAGGGAACACTGCTACCTACCAGTGTTCCCTCTAAGCTGAGTTAGTGTGAGCTAGCTCAGTTTTTTAGCCTCTGGCTCACACATTTTTGTCTCAGCTCCGGAAGGGATGGCTCCAGAGCAAACTAAGCAGGCAGGAGGTGATGGGAAAGACCTCCGTCTGCGACCCTGGAGAGCTGTAAAGAGGGGCTGTGGCTCAGTGGAAGAGCCTCTGCTTGGCATGCAGAAGGTCCCAGGTTCAGTCCCCAGTGGCATCTCCAGTTAAAAAGGACCAGGCAGGAGGTGATGGGAAAGACCTCCGCCTGAGACTCTGGAGAGGAGCTGCCAGTCTGAGTAGGCAATATTGACATTGGTCCTTTCCGCACTTGGATCTCACCCCTGGTTTTATCAGAGTTCAACTCGCCACACAATACCTTGCATTTATCCCTGGTTGTAACAGCGTCCGTTTATACCGGGACAAGTGTGGGGCAAAACCAGGGCGACCTCAATGTAATGTGGAAACAAAAAATGACCCGAGGTAATTGCAGGGGTGAACTCGAGCGTAGTGTAGCATGTAAGTTCAGGGACAGGGTTGAACCAGGATTGAAGGTCTAATGCGGAATCACCCGCTGGACCGATTTCACATTAGCCTTTGTCCCGCGCTCACTCTTCCATTCTCCTCGCTTGTTTTGGTCAATTTCTCACCATGAGACCCACGGCCGCCTTTTGACCCGCGTCTTCCCCCAATTTGCCCCACCTCAGCGTGATCCTTGATTTCCCAGACGTTTCCTGTTGCCTCACGGTGAAGCCAAAACACACACACAGTTTTTCCACGCCCACTTGCCCGCCCCATTCATCTGCCACTCCTCGTTGTGTGTGTGTGTGTGTGTTTTTTAAAGAGTTATAAAAGGGGAGGGGCATATGGGAAAGGCTAGGAGGATGAAGAAAGGGGACTGGGAGGAGGGAAGTGGCCGCGTGCCAAAAGCTTTAATGGTAAATCCGTTAGAACAATCCGGGGCAAACTACCCCGCATGGAACCAGAGGCAAGTACCGCGTGCGATATCGGTCCTGGTGATTTCAGAAAAGCTGTGTCACATGTGCACCTCTCCCGTTCCCGTCCCCCAAAGCTAAGAGGGGAGTTCTCACCATGACTGCAGTATCCCTCGGAGTCAGGCAGGTTGGTGGGGGCCATGGTGGGGGCCTTTGTAGGTGGCGGCGGAGGGACCTCCCCATCCGAGTCCAAACCGTGTCTGAATACTCTAATCAGAAAAGGGGAGAAAGGGGGTGGGCAGTGGGTTTGGGGTGAAGAGGAGGGGGGGAAATCAGGCTTTAAATCAGGCATGGCTAAGGAGTGCCAGTTTCTCAGGTTTGCCTGCCCTACCTAATAGGGCCATTATGCAGATAAAACATAGGAACAGTTCCTTGCTTTGAGAACATGAGTACATTGGAAGAGCCCTACTGGATAACACCAGTGAGGGTCCATCTAGTCCAACATCCTGTCTCACACAGTGGCCAACCGGTTCATCTGGAGGGCCAACAACGGGGCACAGAGGCCGAGGCCTCCCCCTGAGAAGAACCTCAGAAGACCCCTGCTGGACCAGACCGGTGAGGTTCCATCTAGTCCAGCATCCTGTCTCACACAGGGGCCAGCCAGTTCCTCTGGAGGGCCAACCACAGGGCAGAGAGGCTAAGGTCTTCCTCTGAGAAGAACCTGAGAAGAGCCCTGCTGGATCAGACCAGGGAGGGTCCATTTTGTCCAGCCTCCTGTCTCACACAGTGGCCAAGCAATTCCTCTGGAGGACCAGCAACAGGGCATGGAGGCCGAGGCCGAGGCCTCCCCCTGAGAAGAACCTCAGAAGTGCCCTGCTGGATCAGACCAGTGAGGGTCCATTTTGTCCAGCCTCCTGTCTCACAAGGGCCAGCAGCAAGCCATGGAGGCCAAGACCTCCACCTGAGAAAAACCACAGAAGAGCCCTGCTGGATCAGACCAGGGAGGGGCCATCTAGTCCAGCATCCTGCCTTACACAGTGGCCAACCAGTTCCTCTGGAGGGCCAACAACAGGGCAGCGAGGCCAAGGCCTTCCCCTGAGAAGAACCTCAGAAGAGCCCTGCTGGATCAGACCAGGGAGGGGCCATCTAGTCCAGCATCCTGCCTTACACAGTGGCCAACCAGTTCCTCTGGAGGGCCAACAACAGGGCAGCGAGGCCAAGGCCTTCCCCTGAGAAGAACCTCAGAAGAGCCCTGCTGGATCAGACCAGGGAGGGGCCATCTAGTCCAGCATCCTGCCTTACACAGTGGCCAACCAGTTCCTCTGGAGGGCCAACAACAGGGCAGCGAGGCCAAGGCCTTCCCCTGAGAAGAACCTCAGAAGAGCCCTGCTGGATCAGACCAGGGAGGGGCCATCTAGTCCAGCATCCTGCCTTACACAGTGGCCAACCAGTTCCTCTGGAGGGCCAACAACAGGGCAGCGAGGCCAAGGCCTTCCCCTGAGAAGAACCTCAGAAGAGCCCTGCTGGATCAGACCAGGGAGGGGCCATCTAGTCCAGCATCCTGCCTTACACAGTGGCCAACCAGTTCCTCTGGAGGGCCAACAACAGGGCAGAGAGACCGAGGCCTTCCCCCGATGTTCTCTCTGTCGACTCTCTCCACCCCATGCATCATTTTATAAACCATCGTGCGTCGCCCCCATCTCCCGTGCCACCTACACTTTGCCACCGACAGTCTTTTCTGGACCTTCCGAGGCGACGATGAAATACGACTTCTGCTTCGGGAAACCCCTGATCAGCTCCAGGTCGGAGATCAGGTCCAGGACGTAGTCGTGGCCAGCCAGCTCGGCCCACTGGGCCCCGTCCTTCATTGTGACAGACCAGCCTCGCCAGCCGTCCATCAGTCCCCTGTCAAGAAGAACCAGCCTTGGTTTGGGGTGCCAACCTCCAGGTGAGTCCTGGCCCTTTTCCGGAATTCCCAACGGGTCTCCAGACTACAGAGATCTGTTCCCCTGGAGGAAATGGGAATTTTGGAAAGTGAACTGTAGGGTTCCCAGGTCCGTTCTGGCAACTGGCAGGGGATGGGGTGGGTGAACTTACCAGGAGTGGGAGGTGTTGGAAATATGTGAGTTGCAAGGTCTAAATTGCAGTCGTTATAGGGTTAATCTGTATACCTTGTGTGCTGTTGTTTAGCCTGACCCCAGAAGGAAACCTGGCTCAGAGCCAATGCAAACAAAGCCCAGGAAACTGAAGTCTGTTTACAAACATCATTGGTTAATGTAATCAGGTGATTTCCTTCTAGGGGTCAAGAAGAAAGAGAATCTCCATTACAGTTGTTGTTGAGAGACCATGTGGCCAGTCTGTAAAGCTGTAGAGATGTAGCCTTTGTTATTTTGTAGATTTCCCTGTGAACCCTTCCCTTAGAAATTAAAGATTTCTAAACAGAAAGAAATGCCTCCTCTCCAGTGGAGCAAAGATCCATTGCAAACCTCCAAGTATTTAAGTATTTTTGCCTATTTTTCCAACAGGAGGGAGGCCCAGGCTCTGTCGTTGGTGACATGGCGACATCACTTCTGGTGTGTACTGGAAGTGACATAATCACAATGGGATATCCCCATGAAGCTCTGGTATTTGGGCAGAAACTATGGTAAAAATGGCTTCTACCATAGAGTTTTTGCCCAAATGCCAGAGCATAGCCAGGACCACACCAATACGATGATGTCACTTCCAGTACGTGCCAGAAATAACGTTGTTGTGTTGCTGGCCATGTAGCCTGGGTGTCAAACTCACTCTGCATTTTATTGCTCGCTTGCCATAGTAACCGGGGGGGGGGGGGGGAGGTAAGGGAGAGTGTGAAACCTGCATACTTTCACTTTTGATGCATTATGAAGTTTCTTTGCACTTCTGCATTCTTTATCAAACCATGGTTTGTGAAAATCTGGTCTAGCCCATAGGTGCCCTAAATTGGAGCCTTTCAGGCCTTTTTGTAATTCCATCAAAATTTGTTTGTAATTCCTCCAGGCAAACCTCTATGTTATCTGCATTCACTGCTGGATTCGGCTGTAAATAAAACTTTATCCTATCCACTTTTGATGCTCTGAAGTAGAATGCAGCTTATCGTTCCTGGGAACCTGTATTGGCCTTGGGTCTCATCTTTCACTGCTGGGCTTTGTCTTGCATGTTGGGGGGATGGCGGCTCAGGGGAATGCTTAGCCGTTAACCTTTTGGCGGGTGGAATACCAGGGGGTGATTGGCTCTGTGAATTTTTATGCCCCCTGCTTGAACCTTGTATATCTGCTGCTTTCGTGCCTTGATCCTCAGTTCTAACACAGACCGTGTCCAGTCTGGATCCTATCAGTGTCTCAATAAACTTATCATTCTCCAGAGTGAATGTTAGGAACTGATTTGTCTGGGAGTCTGAACTGGGCTTCCCTTCAGCTTCTGATTGGCGGCAGGGCCTGGGGCCTGGGAGCGGGGGATCCCCACCTCCAGTGGGGGGCTGGCAACCGTAACTCTATGGTATACCACAAAGTATAGGAGAAACAGATGTCCTAGAGTGACATCACACATCCCCACTGAGTTTCCTCCCCCTTCAAACTCTGCCCTCCCCAAACTCCACACTCCAAATCTCCAGGGATTTCCCGACTGGGAATTGGCAACTCTAGAACCGTAACCCAGATATCTGGTGCTGGCTTGAAAAGTGATTTGCAGGGAACAGCAAAGATCAAGGTACCGATAAGCAGCTCAGGGCATCAACTGGGTCCCCGGCATGGATCCTCCTAGCAGACTTTCCCTACTCTCTCTTACCTGTGTTGCAGTACGTTTCCAGCCAGGCCTTCTCCTGTGGTCCAGGAATTGATGGGACACAAAAAGTGATCTCCTGTGGGGACAAAAAAAACCCCACACGACTTGAGAGAGATGTTCTCCTAGATAAGTTATTATGTTTGCCACAAGGGTTCCGATGGGACCCTGGAAAAATGCTGCTATTTTAAGAGTCTTTAAGAGAGCACGTGGATCCTAACTTTATCTTTACTCAGGGCTATTTTTGGGCAGGAACTCACAGGAACGGAGTTCCGGCTGGCTCCCGAGTTGGCCACGCCCAGCAGGAACTCATTAGCATAATAGGCCACACCCAACAGCAGAAACTCCTTAGGATTGGCTACATTAGGGGTGTGTGGCCTAACATGCAAAGGAGTTCCTGCTACAAAAAAAGGCCCTGGGTTTTGACAACAAACAAGGTAAACAGAATAACAAGCAAAAGGTGGGTGTGGCTGGATGACCACACTTCTGGTAACATGGGGGTGCGGCCTAATGTGCCAATGAGCTGTGCTGTCAGGGGTGTGGCCCAATATGCTAATGAGTTCCTGCTGTTGGGTGTGGCCTATTATGCTAATGAGTTCTGTCAGATGTACAGCCACTTTATATTTTATAATATTCTCAACTGTATTGCTCTGTTTTTATCTAATTCTGTTTTAATTGTTTTATATTTTATGTGAGCTGCCCTGAGCCTGCCATGGCGGCGGTGGGGTGGGGATATAAATTAAATGAATAAATTAATAAATTAATACTGAACCAGACCTTGGTCCATCAAAGTCGGTATTGTCTACTCAGACTGGCAGCTGCTCTTCCAGAGTCTCAGGCAGAGGTCTTTCACATCACCCACTGCCAAATCCTTTAACTGGAGAGGCCGGGGATTGAACCCGGGACCTTCTGCAAGCCAAGCAGATGCTCTGCCACTGCGCCACAGCCCATATAGTAGGAGATTCAAGTCCAGTAGCACCTTAAAGACCAACAAGATTTCCCGGGTACAGCTTTCGAGAGTCATCGTTCCCTTCATCAGATACAAGTAGGAATGAAGATCTCCATTCCTTCTATCTCACAAAGGCAGCTTTTACCCTGGAAATCTTGTTAGTTGTTAAGGGGTTACTGGAATCTAATCTTGCTCGTCTTCAGGAAGGCCGTGATGTATCCCTGCTCAGATCCATTCAATCCTTACACTTCTAAATAAAGCAAGGTTTCCACCAGGAAACTATCTACAGTGGGGCATTTCGGGGTCCTGCCCCCCTATTTAAAAGCCCCGCCCCATAAATAGCCATGGCTAAATCTTGATCTTTGAGTATGACCTAGGTGGTACTGGGCTAGCAGAAAGGGGGGTTGTTGGAGATGTACCACTCTTGAGTGCCCTTCTAAGCTTTCTTGCTCTGTGGAACTCAAAAGCAATTTAAATGCCTTCTGAAGGCAACTAAATGCCCTCTGAGCGGTTTCTTCCCTAGGGACTGACGTGCTCCCTGCCCTGTCCCTTGAAAGGAAGGGCTAGAAACAGGCTCGGAGCCTCCCCCTTTAAAGAGAGGCATTCTGATTAATTTAATTAACTGCAATTTAACTGCCCCCTGAACAAACAAAATCTACGGGCCTGGAACACACTCTGCACCTGTTCATAAACACTTTGAACTTTAGGTTTCTGTCTTTAGAAAACTGTTTTTGACGGGGGGGGGGGGGGGGGGGGAACCGCTCGGTAGGGCACATGTATCAAAGACCATCAGCATTTCTGAAAAAAATTGGCATTGCATGGGATAAAAGCAGGGGTCATTTCCTGAAGGAGCGGCGCTCCGGCAGTAAAGAGCCCAGGGGGCAGGCACATGCAACAAGCCCCACCCCCTGCTCCCAGCAGCCCTCAGTCAGAGCAAGAAGCAGCCAGGTAAGTTGCAGAGCCCCCCCCCCCCGGCCCCCTAGTCCAAAACAGTCCAGTGGCACCTTTAAGACCAAGTTTTATTCAGGTACAAGTTCTCCCTCCTCTGTGAGGACAGATCTGCACGTCCCCGTCCCCCCCCAATAGCTGGCAATCCAAAAGAGTCCAGTGGAGTCTGGGCGGTGGGTGTTGCTTTCTGACACACTTCCGGTGATGTCAGGGGGTGTGGCATATGCAAATGAGTTATGCTAATGATATCCTGCACCTCTTTTTCTACGAAATGATCCCTGGATAAAAGTCTCCCATAGAAGTGCATGTTCCTGACCGCATCAAGCTATGGAAGGGGGAAGGAAGAGGGATAGACCTAAGGGGTGTTCACCCCTCTCCGCGGTACTTCTAATTCTGATAATAGTACTCAATATAAATGCTCAATTGTTGTAATTTTTGTTAAAGCTTTACCATATGATTTTGACCGGTAGCCAATATAAACGTATAGAACGTTCAATTTTCGTGACTTTTGTTGCAGCTTTACCATATGATTACGGCCTGACGGAGGGTCGAAATGGAGATTTACTCGGGACATCCGTTGCCGTGGTTAATACGGTTGTGATTAACCTCATGTATCATGGTTTAGCTTCATATGTTTAAATTCAATTTGTGCTTGTACTGCAGAATAGTTAATAGGAGTTTTTTTTGTCGTTTCAAATAGAATGTTGTGTACGTTCCTTTAAAGTTACAGTGGTTTTTCCCCCAGATATTGTACATCACACCCACTGTATGGCCATTTTTAATTATACAACCTCCAGGTGGTGGCTGGAGATCTGGAATCACAACTGATCTCCAGGCTACAGAGATCAGCTTCCCTGGAGAAAAATGCTTACTTTGGAAGGCAGACTCTGTGGCATTATATCCCCCTGAGGTCCTGCCTCTCTGCAAACCCCGCCCTCCTCAGCCTCCACCGCCCAAACCTCCAGGGATGTCCCGACCTGGAGATGGCAACCTTAGTCCTCCGCTACTGGGCCCCTTACCATTGAAACAGTAGACGTCCAGGGCCATGTTGACTTTACCGCGGCAGGCCGTCCACTCCAGCAGGGTGGGCGGATATGAGCGGGCTGCCTCGGCGCCGTGTTGGGTCTTCTCCATGGCTTGCATGAGCTTGTGCTGGCAAACGGGTTTGTAGCCGTCGTAGGCGTAGTCCGAAACAAACCTGGGCAGGGGGGAAAGGAGGCGCTGAGAGCGGAAGCGGAGGACACCCTTAGTGGTTTCAGAAAGTGGGCGGGGCCAGGAGGGACTTTTGCCCAGCGAGGCTTCTGATCGGCCTTTGGAGGTTTGATGGGCTGTGCAGATCTTTAAACATGTTGCTTCAGCAGCAGTCTGCCACCACAGCATAACAATCTTCATTGTGTAATGGAAGTCATGGCAGCCATTTTGTGACTGGCTCACGTTCATGCCAAACGCCAGACCTCATTGCTCCACTTTCTGGCCCACATGCGACTAGTCACGTAGACCATGAAGTAGCTGGAGTTTGGGGTCAGATGACTGCAGGCAGGGCTCCAAACTTCTAGCCTATCCCCCCACACAGCTATGACAACCAACAATTGGGAACACCCATGCCCACTCACAATTGGCTGATGACCACATCTAATTTGTGACTGGAATTGGAGTATAATTGTTGGATCCCCATGAGAGTGAGCTCTCTTAGCTCTCTCCCTTCCTCCTCTTGTCAGAGTCTGTTTTATGACACCTGAAATGCTGTCTCTTGCGAAACAAAGACCTGCTTTGTGACTTGGAGCACATGGTGTGCAGAGATGGGATTCGTACTCAAAATCCCTTGGTGCTATCTGGATTATCACCATGGACAATCTTGAACTCTTGGATGCTATCCTGATCTTGGTAACTATGAATCTTTAATGTGTAGTTAAGGCCAATTGCCCTAGCCTTTGTTATTTTTGTAATCTTTTATAGTCTGTTGCTGTGCTCTGTACTGAATAAAGGTCCTGCTTATTTCTAACTTGTCTATGATGTTGTAACTTGGATTCCAAGTCTGAGTCTAGTGCCTAACGCTCACCCCATATGCTACCTTGGTAAGAGTGTGCACCTCGGATAGAGTTGCTATTGTGTTAAATCCCAGATGCTAATTAAGGGTTTGGAATCTCTTCCCTTAGGAAAGGCAGGGACTAGTGAAAAGAGGTTCTGGTGGCCCATTGTTCTGAAACCAGAGAAGGTATAGACCATCTTGGGGTTTGTTGTTTAATGTACTGAAAAAGTACAGGGTTCCCTCCCATTCCTGGACTGGCCTGGGTGGGCTAATCCCTGTACACCCTGCCTTCTTCAGCAGCCACTTTGTGACTGGCTCGCTTCCTGCAGTAGCCATTTTTGTGGCTGGCTCACTTCTTGTGGAAGCCGTTTTTGTGGCTGGCTCGCTTCCTGCAAGCAGCCATTTTTGTGGCTGGCCTAGGGTTGCCAGCCTCCAGGTGGGGCCTGGAGATTTCCCGCTTTTACTACTGATCTCCAGCTGACAGAGATCAGCTCCCCTGGAGAAAATTGAAGCGCTCATGGAGAAAATTGAGAGCTCATGGCAGGAGATGGAAGTTGAAGCAAAACATCTGTGACAAAAATAACAAAGAGTCCATTGTTTACTATAATAATTGTAATTCTGTGGAAAACTCTCTCCTTTTATTGCTCACACGCAACGAATTTTGCACAATAAAAATATTCGTTTCAATAGGATTGCTTTATCTGAGCGTGTAGTACTTACAATTCTTATCAATTTCCACTTATCAACTCTTGAAACAAACATCTCAATGTTGACTCTCTGATATCAGAACTCAAGGTCTTCACAAAGAAGAGAGTTTTCCACAGAATTATATTTATTATAGTAAACAGTTTTGCATATATATCTTTATTGACTCTTCGTTATTTTCCATCCCAGACCTGGCAACACTAGGCTGGCCCTATCTCCTGTGGCAGCCATTTTTGTGGCTGCCCCTGCCTTCTTCAGCAGCCATTTTGTGGCTGGCTCGCTTCCTGCGGTGGCCATTTTTGTGGCTGGCTCTGCCTCCCATGGCAGCCATTTTGTGGCTGCACCCACCATACTGTGTCAGAATTCCAAAGGTTTAAGGGCCCCGATCCTCATGTCTCCCAGAGCCACTCACTTCAGCAACGGCTTCTCCAGGCTGGGGGAGGGTGTGAAGGCGCTGAGGCAGACGGCCAGCAAGAGCCAACCCCGTTCCTCGTTGTGGATGTTGGTGTTCCGCCAGACCTGGTTGATGATCTGGGCCAGGATCTCGTCCCGCAGGCCAGCCGTCGACAGCCCCTTCTGCACAATGTAGTTCCCGAAGAGGCTCTCTTGAGTGCCGTTGAGGTGGGGGTCACCCATGAAGCGGAGAACCTGCCACGGACGGAGGAAGTGACATCAAAAACCCAGGCAAGACAAATGGGATTAGGGTTGCCAGCCTCCAGGTGGGGCCTGGGGATCTCCCGCTTTTACAATTGATCTCCAGCTAACATAGATCAGCTCCCCTAGAGAAAATGGCTGCTTTGAAGGGTGGACTCCAGGGCATTGTACTATGCTGAGGCCCCTCCCCTCCCCAAACCCCGCCCTCTCCTGGCTCCACCCCCAAAGCCTCCAGGTATTTTCCAACCCAGACCTGGCAACCCTAAATGGGATATAGGATTGCCAATCCCTAGATTAGTCAAACAACAAATATATACACTGCAAAAACCTTTTTTATAAGTGAAAGTGTTCTATATGTTCCATCTTATAAAGTGCATTGTGTATTATTCAGAATATTCTAAAACAGGTATATATTAATTATACATGAAATATCAACAATAATAATCAGTTTGTACAATCTAATAGCTACCAGTCAATTTACATTCTTTTTACACAATCAACCCCAACGGGAGTTTCGAGAATTGTACACCCGCTTATCCTTGCTTGAAAGTCTTCTAAAGGGGGAAGTTTCCTTTTGTGGTTACATTGAAGTTTAAATTGATGTTTGTTGCTGGTCCTACAAAAGGCCCATTCAGCAGCTGACATTCAAGGATGTAAACTGACTGGTAGTTATTAGATTGTACAAACTGATTACTATTGTTGATATTGCATGCAATAAATATATACCTGGTTTAGAATATTATGAATAATACACAATGCACTTTTTAAGATGGAACATAGAGAACACTTTAACTTATAAAAACAGTTTTTGCAGTGTATATATTTGTTGTCTGACTCTTCTAACACTGCAGCTCGAGTTTCCACAATCCCTAGATTGGGCCTGGGAACTTTGCAGAAATTGCAACTAAGGTTCCCGTTCCCCAGGTAGGAGTGGGGATCCCCCACTTTTTGGGACTTCTTTGTGTCCCCAGTCAACTGGCCACCGGGGGGAACCTCACCCCAAACAGTGACATCAGGCAGAAGCGTCCCCGATACAATGACGTTACACGGGAGTGCTATCATAACATTGGGGATATTGTGTGGCGACACTCTGGTTCTGGGGCAAAACTCCATGGTTTGAGAGCAATTTTACCATAGAGTTTTGTCCTCAAACCAGAGCATTGCCACGCCACGCCCTTGATGTGATGACATCCCTTCCGCGTGATGTCATCGTGTTGGAGACGTCACCATGCCCCACTCCCAGAAGGCTCCCTCCCACCCACCCCCGCCGTCACATCGTAAAGACCTGGCAACCCTAATCACAACTGAACTCCATATGACAGAGATCAGTTCCCCTGGAGAAAATGGCCGCTTTGGAAGGTGGACTCTATGGCCTTGTACCCCACTGAAGTCCCTCCCCGTCCCAAACTCTGCCCTCCCCAGGCTCCACCCACCAAATCCCCAGGCCCAGAGCTGGCAACCGTACACATCAGAATCCACTTTGGTAGAGAAGTCATGCACAACCTGCCACGGCTTCTCGACTCGTGGGAATGCTATAAAGGCCACTGGTTTGTTTAAGCGGCAGGGGGATGGGGGAAGAACCTACCAGCTTGAAGAGAGTAACTGCCTCCGCCCCCAGCCAGTCGTCCAAGTGGGTCAGAGGTGATGCCAGGATCTTGGTGAGCATACCAAAGACCGGTTCCTGGGGGAGGACAAAGGAGTGAATCATTCACCTCTTTACCAGTTCAGCAGTAAAAGCGTTTCGCCAAAGGACCCATTCACATAAGCATTCTAACATCTAGCCTGAAGGCACCTGGGTTTTGGCCACTGGGTGACACAGAGCGTTGGACTGGATGGGCCGTTGGCCTGATCCAACATGACGTCTCTTATAGCAGTGGAATATTAAAGCCAGCATATGAGATACAGCCACTATTTATTTCATTTACACCCTATTTTTCCTCTGCAATGGCTTATATTGTTCTCCTCTTCATTGTATCACCACAACAACCCTGTGAGGGAGGTGAGTTTGAGAGTGTGTGACCAGCCCGGGGGTCAGCCAATGAGTTTTCCAGGCAGAGTGGACATTCAAACCCAGGTTTCCCAGTTCCTACTACAACCACTAGTCCTGCTCTAACTCTCTAAGCATCAAGCTAGATGCCCAACTCAGCCAGTGAACTGAATGCATTTAGCCACATTGAACAAAAGCCGATAAAAGCCAAATATCGTTTTTCATTCGGGCATGGCTATTTCGGTGGCCGAATAAAGATCTGAATACATACCTGAAAAATACAGATAAGGTTTTACCTGCTAAATATACAGACTTTCTTTTTTATTGATTGGTTATATTGTTATTAAATGATATATCTTGAATATTATCATTTTGTAATACTGTACAAATTATAATGTTTATTGTTTATTTCTTGAGTTGTAAATGATGAAAATTTGGAAATAAAAATAAAGTTGTATTCAGCTCAGTATATACCGAGCGCACACCCCTAGCAGTGACTCACAGACGCTCCTACCCTACCACAAATTTTGTTAGTTTTTAAGGTCCTACTGGAGTCTTGCTCTTTTCTACTGCTACAGACAGACTAACACGGCTACCCATCTGGACCTCTGTTCCAGGGACTATGTGTGTGTTTGTGTACAGAGATGCATTTTTTATTTATTTAATTTAGATATCTATACCATGCTTTCCCCCCCCTCCAGTTGGGATCCCAAGAGTCAATTCCCCCTCCTTCATTTTATCCTCAACTTAGGCTGAGAGTGCGTGACCGGCCAAAGGTCTCCCAGCAAGCTTCCATGGCAAACAGGGAATTCGAACCTGGGTCTCCCAGATTCTAGTCCAATTATGCTAACTACTGCACCATACCACAATGTGTACAGTGAGTTTCACTGTGTTCTTCATGACCTCCAACGTCTTGTCCAAAGATCATTAACGGCAGAGGACTATATCTGAGAAGTCTCTCTTTGGGGGACAGGATGTGATCCGTCCCTACTTAACTTCCCCAACTCTAGAACACCCTGTGCTTCCAGACCGTGCACCAGAAGATGCCCTTTCCAAGGTGCCAAGATGTTGGCATGAAATTCTATGTGCCAAAGTAGCTTCCAAAGGCCACCCTAAACATCCCTCCTTTCCCGGCTCAGCCCAAGGAGTTCCCTACCCCCTTACCTTGAAATGGGTCCGCACATACTTGGACATCGGGTAATTGTTGATGTCGAGGGGTAGAGTGAGCTGGGAATCCGCTTGCATCTTGGGAGGGGCCACGGGGACGATGCAGTCTTCGTTCACCTGTCTGTGGACTATAAGAGGCAGACCGATCTCTCATGAAGAAGAAGAAGAGATTGGATTTATACCCTGCCCTTCACTACCTGAAGGAGTCTCAGAGCAGTTTATAATCTCCTTTCATTCCTCTCTCCACAACAGACACCCTGTGAGGTAGGTGGGGCTGAGAGAGCTCTTTCCAGAGCTGCTCTTGAGAGAACAGCTCTGAGAGAACTTGTGACTGGCCCAAGGTCACCCAGCAGCTGCATGTGGAGGAGTTGGGAATCAAACCTGTTTCTCTCAGATTGGAGTCCATGCACTTAAGAGACAGAGTCTTGGCATTCCGGGCCAGGACTTGGCTTTAACCAAACCCATACCAGAGAATGTGAGAAAGATCCCAACTCCATTGGCCCAAGGGACCAACTTGGCTGTCCAGGATTCTGTTTTGATGTCTGCTTCCCACACCAACCACAGAAGGAGGCTAGGGTTACCAACTCTGAGCTGGAAAATTCCTGGAGATTTTGGGGGTGGAGCCTGAGGAGGGCGGGGCTTGGGGAGGGGAGAGACATCGGCGGGGTTCAATGCCACAGAGTCCACCCTCCAAATCAGACATTTTCTCCAAAGGAAGGTGATCCACGTAGTCTGGAGATTGGTTGTAACTGGGAACCCTGGGCTGGTCCAGTATATGCAATTTCCCATCATGCATTGTGATCTCCAGGCTCTACTTGGTGAGGAGGAGGAGACTGGATTTATACCCCGCCCTTCACTCGGAGTCTCAAAGTGACTCCTTTCCCCTTCCCCTCCCCGCAACAGACACCCTGTGAGGTCGGCGGGGCCGAGAGAGCTCTTTCCAGAGCTGCCCTTGAGAGAACAGCTCTGACAGAACTATGGCTTGCCCAAGGTCATCCAGCAGCTGCAAGTGGAGGAGTGGGGAATCAAACCTGATTCTCCCAGCTTGCATTGGGATTAGCCCCCCCCCCGCCGCCGCCGCCATTATCAGAATATCATCTTCAACAGATCTTGAGAAAACGGTTGTGGAAACCCTTCCCCTGGGGGAATTGCGGAACAGTCATTCATTTAGGGCCACAATCATTCATATCGGTCCCGGATCCCCCTAGGGAGGGGATCCTGGCCGATAAGAACGTACCCGCCACGGTGTTGAGGAGACCAACCAGTTCGGCAGGGACTTCCAAGGTCGAAACTTTCATCACCTCTCGGGGGGACATTTCCTGACGGGGGGGACGCAGAGAAAGAGAGTCACTCCTGATCCTCTGTCTGTTCAGCACAAGGGTCCGATAGCATCTGATCTTGCTGAGACTAGGTAAGCAACCGGTGAGTATTGGTTGGGGTTTGGAATGGCCCTGGAAGACCCTCTAGATCAGGGGTCCCCAACTTTTTTGAGCCAGTGGGCACCTTTGGAATTCTGACTGAGGTGGTGGACGCAACTACAAAATGGCTGCTACGGGAAGTGGAGGCAGAGGCAACCACAAAATGGCCACCAGAAGAGGTGGAGCCAACTGCAAAATGGCCACCACAAGAGGTGGAGCCAAGCCACACATGTCCATGAGTGAGGTTGTGCATAAATCTAACAGTAACTTTTCAACATTTCAGGCAGACGCCATCTTTAAAAGGATACCAATCAGGTCTCCACTGGCCAGTCAAAAAATCTCTGACCAATAAATCTCCACTTGGCCTTGCCCGCTTTCTAAAAACACTTGGTGGGTGCCAGAAAAGGTGTTAGTGGGCACGATGGCGCCCGCGGGCACCATGTTGAGGACCCCTGCTGTAGAGTAGACAAAAACCCAAACAGAGTTTATAATCATCCCTTCTCCAAGGAACTTTAGTTGAGAGGAGGCAGGGAAGAAGACTTGGAATCTTGAAGAGAGAAACTGCAAGAGTCTCCTCGAACTACAATTCCCAAGATCCTTTGGAGGTGTCCAAGACAGTTGTTATGAAAATCAACAAGATGCTAGAGACACCCCACCCACTGTTAGCCATCCCACCAGATTGAATTTCATTTAAAAGCAGCCACAAGGGGGAAGGGAAGATATGGATTGGGGTCCTGGCCCTGGGGAAAAAGAGATTTAATTATGTGTGCTACCCTCTCACCACACAAAAAAAGTCCAGACAGGGAAAAAAAGACAGGCTGAAAGAGGGACTGTCTTTTTCCCCTGACCAGGGCTGATAACTTATTTCCGTTTCAACGGGGAAATTGAGACTCAAATTCAAATCCCTGCTAAGCCCCAGAGCTAAGTGGGAGATTTTGGGCCAGCCAGCCAGCCAGTCTCTCTCTCTCCCGAACCTACCTCACAGGGTTGTTGTGAGGGTAAAATAGAGTGGCAGAACCATTCACAGGTAAGGTGATGCAAGTGCATATCTAAAAATACGGCAGTGGGGAAAAACACACATGTATTTGATGACTATCTCGTAGAAAATTTATACGCCGCCTCTCCAGAGAAACACTTGAGGTCGTTCCTGTGTTTATCCTACCCTTCCTGAGGATGGCATACTTGGTTCTCCTTCTCCATTTTATCCTCACTCCAGCCCTGCGAGGTAGGCTAGGCTGAGCTAGAGAGCCACTGGCCCAAGGTCACCCAACCCGCTCCCAAGGCAGAGTGGGGATTCAAACCTGGGTCTCCCGGACCCAAGCCTGATGAGGGAAGCTGAAACATGGCATGGAAGTAAATAAAAACCACCTGCTAAATAATATTCCAGTAAGCCTCTGTTAAAGAGACAGGATATTATTTCCCCAAAGCCGACAGCAACTCAAGTTAAAGCATGCTGATTAATCCTCTTGGCTGAGTGCGTTTGATTCAATCTGTTGGGTTCTCCCCTCCCACCGACTTCCAGCTTTGCTCTGTGACTTATGTCCTGTGCAATTGCGTCTTTTACTGACAATTTAATATTTTACCGATTAACCGGTTTCTTGTTTTAACCTGTTAGCTTTCATGGAAGCTATGGGATAGAAATTGTTCAAATGCACAAAAGCAATCTCCCCCTAGGGGGGGAAGGAACTCGATTTTGGGCATGGCTTACCAAAAGTACTGTACACCCTTATCCCCAAATCCACTTTATCCTCACAACAACCCTGTGAGGGAGATTAGGCTGTGACTGGCTCAAGATCACCAGGGCAGAGGCAGGATTCGAACTCAGGTCTCCCGGATCCTAGTCTGCCACTCTAAATCTCTACCCCATGCTGGCTTTCAGTGGGACAGGCGGAAGGGGGAGAGGCTTAACTCCTTCCCTCCCTGAGCACTACGGTTGGCCAGTCTGAACTGGGGTCCCATGAACCGGCTTTTGAAAGAACAGAATGTTTGGGGGCTCATACGGATAACTCCCAAGAGGTTGAGAACCGGCCTTCAGTGCTCTCCCTATCTCTTTGAAGAGTAAAATTACACACAGTGAAAATGTTGGAAGGGAAAGACTGTGTGCTGTCCCTCTGCCTCAGACCTCAGGAGACCATAGAGAGTCAGAGAGATAGAGAGGCCAGGACTCTGATCACCCCTTCCACTGCTCTGATACTATCCCTCTGATGCTACTCTCAAGGAATCCTCCTCCCTTCTGGTCTGACACCTTCTCTCCACACTTGTGCCACTCTTCTCCATCTTGGCACCATGACGGCAGGAGACGCTTCCTGCAGCATCTCTATCCATCCTAGCTAGTTAGACTAGATGAGAACCCTATCTCTACCCTATCTTGTCTAAAACGGAATTCCTTGCAATAAAGGACTCATATTAGCTTCTGCAAAAATAAAGAGGCTCCATCTGTAACTTTGTTTCTTGTCGGCACACACAAACCAGATAGACTCTGCTGCGTTATGTGCCATGAGCACTCCGCTAACCCAAATAATCCTTCAGAAAAGTGACTTGATTTTTCAGAGGCGGGTTGCGGAATTCCCTTTTTCTCGATGTGTGATTTTGAGCGGAGGTTTATTATTTATTTATTTATTTATCCTTCGGCTTGATATACCGCCCTAACCCCCTCCCTCCTCACAATGCCCCCATAAGCCATGCGGGATGAGGGATTCTGTCTCCTTGGCACACAAAAAACACCTTTTCGGCATTACCTGCTCAGACTTCTTCCTTTCCTCTTCTGCCTTCCGGCGCTCTTCCTCTTTCTTCTAAAAGCAGAGAGGATTTCCATGATCAGAGAAGTTTTGACCCCCCCCCCCAATGACATTTGCAAGAAAGTGTTCACAACGACAGAAAATCCAATGTTATACGCAAGAAAAGGAAGCAGTACAGAAATATTACAGCATTCTTCCAAAAGAACAATGTCCAATACAGATGGATTTTTCCTGAAGGACTTATATTCAACTTTAAGGAGAAGAAGGAAAAGATGGACTGTCTATTAAAAGCAGAACACTTTCTCAAACAACAACAATCTTCAACCAAACAAAGAAACAGAGCAGAGGAAGATAAGGCAATGGGAAAAAATAGCGAACAACAGAAATTCGATACGGATAGTTCATCTTCTACAGCTACTTCCGTGTCTTTTGGTGAAATTTTTGACTCTGACTCGGATTTGGATTTAGGAGTTGCGGCTCCTAAAACATTTAAAGTACATCTCCCTTGGCAAAAGAAGAACATAAGAACATAAGAGACGCCAATGTTGGATCAGGCCAGAGGCCCATCTAGTCCAACACTCTGTCACACAGTGGCCAAAAATACCAGGTGCCATCAGGAGGTCCACCAGTGGGGCCAGGACAAGAGAAGCCCTTCCACTGTTGCCCCCCCCCCCAAGCACCAAGAAGACAGAGCATCATTTGCCCTAGAGTCCCTATCTATACCTTGTGGCTAATAGCCACTGATGGACCTCTGCTCCATATGCCTATCTAATTCCCTTTTGAAGCCATCCATGCTTGTAGCCGCCACCTCCTGTGGCAGTGAATTCCATGTGTTAATCACTCTTTGGGTGAAGAAGGACTTCCTTTTATCCGTTCTAACCCGACCGCTCAGCAATTTCATGGAGTGCCCACGAGTTCTTGTATTGTGAGAAAGGGAGAAAAGTACCTCTTTCTCTACCTGTTCTTTCCCATGCATAATCTTGTAAACCTCGATCATGTCACCCCTCAGTCGTCTTTTCTCCAAGCTAAAGAGCCCTAAGCTAAGAGCCCAAGCTAAAGAGCCAAAGCTAAGAAGAAAGCAAAGTGAAGATCTGAGATTCCCTATGTTGACATTTATTATACTCATATTATTAATCAGATGTGATGTAATATCAAAAATGCCTTTATGTTCTTTCTATTTGAACACTTTTATTAGATTTTAAAGAACTGAATGTAATTTTTAACATGTATATATCCAAAGCGTTTGATTAGCTTATCAAAAGTTCTTGCTACTCTCTTTGTAGGTTATAGGTTTGTACCGTAGTGTGTAGGAAGAAAAACAATAAAAATTATATATATAATATATTAAAGAAAATCGAATGTTAACCATCGGGGTTAAAAACATTTTAAAAACAAAGTAAATGATTGCCAGTTTCTGCCGGGCTTTAACCATACCCTTAGCATTGCCAGCTCTGGGTTGGGAAATTCCTGGAGATTTGGAGAGGAGTGGATGGACCCCCGGGGTGGGGTATAATGCCATAAAGTCCTCTTTCCAAAGCAGCCATTTCCCCCAGGGGGACTGATTGTGTTAGCTGAAGTTCAGTTGTAATTCCGGGAGATCCCCAGGCCTAGTGTTACCAGCCTCCAGGTGAGGCCTGGAGATCTCCCAGAATTAGACTTGATCTTCAGGTGACAGATATCAGTTCCCCAGGAGAAAATGACTCCTTTGGAAGGCATCCTACCCCACAGAGGTCCTGGCCCTCCCCAAATTCCTCCCTCCCTAGACTCCACCCCCAAAATCTTCAGGTATTTTCCATCCCAGTGTCACTCTGTCCCAGAGAAGATGTATTGTTGGTGTAGTGGCTTGGTGTAGTGGTTAGGAGCCAGACTAATCTGGGAGAACTGGGTTTGATTCCCCACTCCTCCACATGCAGCTACTGGTGTGACCTTGGGTCACTTACACGTTTTCTCAGAGCTGTTCTCTCAAGAGCAGTTCTGAAAAGAGCTCTCTCAACCCCACCTACCTCACAGGGTGTCTGTTGTGGGGAGGGGAAGGGAAAGGAGTTTGTGAGCCACTCTGAGACTCTGAGTGAAGAGCAGGGTATAAATCCAATTTCTTCTCTCCTCCTCCTCCTCCTCCTCTTCTTGATTTAATCTCAGTGGCAAGAAGAGCAACTGCTTTGC